GCAAAAAAAAAAAAAAAAAAAAAAAAAAAAAAAAAAAAAAAAAAAAAAAAAAAAAAAAAAAAAAAACACAAAAAAAAAAAAAAAAAAAAAAAAAAAAAAAAAAAAAAAAAAAAAAGAATCGTCCGCATTTGCGTCGGATCTGAGTTGTCAGTCAAAGAGGACGAAAATCAAAGAATCATTCCTATCCTTAGCATTTATGCTCATCCGACTCATTTGACATGGGACCGTTTAAAACCGTTTTATCCGTTTTCTGAAAATCCGCTTATTTAATGGTCGATATATTTGATCCGTCTACTACTTTCTATTCCGCCCGTTCTGTTTCCACACATTTTGTATTATTATATGTATTTTTTTGACCTTTTTAAAGTTCAAATTGATATTTCGAATTATTTTTACATAAGAATTTCGTAAACTCTTTTTTTTTCAGGTCTCGTTCCCGTTCACCAAGACGATCCTCGCGTGATCGAGATCGAGATCGCGACCGTGATCGTGATCGTGATGATAAGTATTCTAGAAAATATTCGGATGATGAGAAAAGTGGCGAAAGACGGAAAAGTAGTGATAACCGCAGATATTCGTAAATATTTCTCTTTATCATATATATAATATCTTTATTTCTCTATATAAACAATTGATAAACTATTACATTAACAATAGGTCGGCGGAAAGATCACCTAGTGATCGCGGTCATGGGTAAAAACCCCTTATTAAAAAAAAAATAATATTTACATTTTGAATTGGAAATAGTGGTAAATGTGATAAAAAATTTGCCGATGATTTGATGTATTCATAAAGATATAATCATCAATTGATTTACTTTTTTATGAGAATTGTAAGTAGATTTTTTTTATTTCCGATATTTTTCTTGTAGAATTATTGATTTTTTTTTTACGTCAATCTTTTGTTTAAGCTTTTGTGAATTTTTATGAATCTTTGTTAAGATTCCAAGATTATGTGCACACGATTTGATATTATTTTCATTTTGAGGAAATAATTAAGATTTTAGATAATTAAAGAGTGAATTTAAGATTGAATGATTGAATTTTACGAGTGAATTAAAGTATTAATTAAAAAAGAATGAAGAATGAATCAAGTGCTTTTTTGAAAAAATATATATTTTTTGTAATATATGATAATTTGTCCTCCAATAATTAAATCAAATCTAATTCCCCAACATTGTAAATCCCTTACATGACAAATATAATGTAATGCATTTTTTCAAAAGAGTGAAAATTTAAAAGAAATTTAAAGTAGTAATAAATCTTATAAAATAAAATATAAAGTAGGAAACCAAACAATTATAATACAAAAAAAAAATTTATGAAACGAAAAGATAATGTAAGCATCTAGGCAAGAAATTAATAGTCATGAAAAAAATGTGTGAAGATTATAATTCAGATTTGCAAAAAAAAAAAAAAAAACCATATTCTGTTAAAAAATTCTTAATATTCTTAATGAATTTTTTAAAAAAATAATGACAAAATGACAAAACATCGATCGAAAAAAAAATTATACACATAGATAAAAGGATAATAGAAGCTAAAGAATATTTCTGATTTATATATTAAAAAAAGAGGTACTTTTATTATGTTGGTACCTTCATATTTCTATCGCTCAATAAACTTTCTATCCAATATAAAATTATTTCTGTTGTTTTTGTCCCAATACTCTCGTCTCGAACAACTTCGTATGGTAACCAATCGCTATAAGGGATTGCACCTTGATTACTATCAAGAACAAAAACAGATGTGATTATACCAAAGAGATAGATAACCAAAGTGTATAATGCGAATGTCACCGTGCTGTTGACAATAGTATTATTCTGGGCAACATTTAGTTTATTTCGTGTGACAAGAGCTCTGGATGACTGTACAACTTGGGTGTTCTCTGAAAGTGGAGGCTAAAAAATTATGTGAAGCGATTTGTTGTTGTGGTGGTGGTGGTGGTTGTGGTTGAAGTAATTTTAGAAAATAATTTTAATATGAGATTGAATAAGTTTTAATCACATATCTTAATATATAAAATATATTTATTTTATTTCTATTAGAACAAACCTCTGAATCCTGGATAAGATTCGCTATGTAATCAGTAATATGAAAAATAAAAATTTGATTAGTGAGGCACACATTAAACAAAAAAAAAAGTATAACGCAAAAAATAAAAAAAAAAAACAAAGAAATAAAAAAAAAACAAAACAAAAAAACAAAACAAAAAAACAAAAAAAAAAAACAAAAAAACAAAAAAAAAAAAACAAAAAAAAAACGAATAATATTGATATAAATCCGTATATCAGCAAGTTTTTGTTTCAAACGGACTAACCTCTCCGTTTATTTTTTCGAGATGCATGTCGATTTAGTCTTTGCTGTCTCATTAAATCTGTACTATCACCTTCCACACTGTTGCGAATTTGTCTGTCTCCCTTATTGTGTAGAGGTGTAAATTCACGTTTTCTCAAAATACCTTCAATCAAAGCATATTGAACACCAAGTTCTGAAGATAATATTTGATATTGAGTATTAACGTCTCGATCTCCGGATGGATTGCTGCGGACAACACTGTTGTTGCTTGGCGTCAAAGAACGTCGACTGTTTCTGGAACTGGTTGACTTACGATCATTGTGATCAAGCCTTTCGTTATCGTTAGAAGGTTCGATTTGAAGATCATCGTTTATATTTCCGTCTGATACATCATTAGGCCGCCTTGGACTCTGAATTATTCACAATCAAGGTGTAAATATGAATTAAGTATTATATTAAATATTATTACATTAAGTATAAACCCAAATTAAATTATTGATTAAACTACTAATTAATAAGTGTACCACTTTGTGAGGTAGTCTACCAACATCATCAGTATTTGAATCTGATCCAAGATGATGTTCTTGTGGTTCTTCTTGTAATTCTTGTTCTTCCGATATTACGGATTGTGCGTGATCATACAATTCTGCTTGTAAATTCTGAATTTAATGATAAAAAAAAAAAAATCTCTTTAATAAGAATTAAAAATATCGAAATATCTTTTTCTCTAATATTTTAACTAAAAATAAATAAATAAATAACCAAAAAATACCTTGCAAGGGCTAACTTCATTCACATCGAATTCATTATCCTATTAAACAATACATAAATATATTATCAACTAGAGACAAATGAATTAAAATTTTCATTGATTAATTTATACTAACTTTAAAAGTACCACCCTCCGCTACAACGTCAAATTCAGTAAACTTATTATTAAGGATAAAAAAAGATAAAATTCTAATAGGGCGAAAAGACATAAAACAAATATATAAAATATATAAAATAGATAAAATAGATAAAATAGATAAAATAGATAAAATAGATAAGGATATTTTTTCATATTAACACCTCCGCTCCGTATGTCTTCCAGATCAGTTCTCAATTTATTAATCGTTTCTTTGAGAAGCGTATTTTCATTTCTTTTAACTTCAAGTTCTTTCTCTGTAGCATGAGCAGCTGCAATATCTTTCTCTAATTTACTTATTGCTACTTCCAAACGGTCACGATCATCAGACCACTTTTAGTATGAGGAAAACAATTTATTTAATAAGTTAGAGAATATATTAAAATAAATTTTTAGTATAAGTAAATAAATTAAAAACATACTCTTTTTTCTTCTATTGAAATTTGATTGAGATTACGTTGTTTGATACTTAATTCTTCTTCTTTACCTCGTACAAGATCTTTTAATTTCTCTGCTTCCTCTGTATATTGAATTATAATTATAATATTATAATAATATGATTCATTAAATCAAGTTCAGAATTAGCATAAAATAAAGGTAATAATATTTTGAATTCTCTTTTTTTTTTTTTTGTACCGCATTGTTCTTCGTATTGTTTCTTAAGATGATGGTATAACTGTTTTTGTCCAGTTAAATCTCTTGCCACTTTTTGAATTTCTCCTTCCAACTAATGAAAAATATATTTAAATAAATCAATTATAATCTATCAAATGATAATAATGAATTACCAACTGACTAATTGAAAATAATAATAATGCATACTGCTGAAATTTGATGTAAATTTGTTTTCTCTTTGTGTTTATGATCCTGAATTTCACGTTTCTTTGCCACTAGATCTGCTTTTGTTTCTTCTAATCTATGTTGAAGCTCTTCAATACGATCTTCATGTTGTCTAGCTACAGATGCTAAATGACGTTCAGATTCTTTAAGTCGTTTGGTAAGGTCTACAGTGTGACGATACAGACGGCTGAGTTGGACAGCAGGGTCGTCTGTTGTCTGAAGAAAAAACATTAATATATTTCATTATTGTAAAAAAAAAAAAATTTTTTTTTTTTTTTTGAAAAAGTGAATAGATCCTTACAGATAAAAACAATTGAGAAACCGTTTCATCGAAACCACCACTGCCTTCGAATGATGTCTCGTATCCTTCGGAAGGATCATGAAGTGGTTTCGGATAATTAAAGTTCATACTATTTGGTGTGTCATTAAAACCATAAGGTAAGCTGCTTCTGGAACGATTTAAGGTTGGGCCGATACCTGATTCTTCTTCCTTTGAATTTTTTTTTTTGAATTTTTTTAATGAAAGTATAAACAAAAAAAATTGGATATAAACTTTATAAATTATATATTAGAGAAACACATATTATAAAACATACGTCATTTTCCACAGTGGTTACAGGTTCCCGATTCCTAAAATTAGATCTATTCTTTCGTGTTGGTCCAAGCGACCGAACCGAGGAACGAACCGTTCCAAATTTGATCATTGATCTCCTAGTTCCAGTTGATTCAGAAGCAACATTAGATCCTACAGGAGGGGTTGGGGAAGATTGGGAAGGGGCCTGAAGTCTTTTTACAAGTTGCATTACATCATCAACAGATACTTCCATGTCAGGATTTTGATCACAAAATTTTTGAAAAATTGGTCTCGTTTCATCCTTTAATAGAGTGACATTATTATCCTTTTCATAACGTTCGATCGTTTTATAAAGATCTTTGGAAAATAGAACTGTTAAATTCTGAAATATTTTTTCTAATTTTTCCTTAATATCTTTATATTCGAGTTCCTATCATAGATAATAACAGTTTGTTACACGGAAAGTAGTGAAAATGATCAATCAATGATAGATTTTTTTTTTTTTTTTTTTTTTTTTTTAAAAAAAAAAAAATAATAATAATAATAATAACAAAATGTGAATTACCTTTGCATCCTCTTTTATTTCATCATGGGAAAGCTTTTGTTGCGTGACTATATTTGACGAGTCGTTCTGAGGATCCATACTGGCGATGTCGACAACAAATAGACTTTGTTTGAAACACTTGATACTTAAAAGAAAGAATTTTGTGTTTTTCAGTTATATTAAATTAGTTCCTCTCCGGTTCGTTTGATTATAAGGAATAGTGAAATCGTGACCACTGTTTTATAAATATCAAAGGACAGGCTCTAAACTGTTAAAAATGGCGAGTTATCAGAAAAACGACTATTATATGTAGATGTATGATGTACAGGTTTATAATAATAATAATTTGATATTTAGAAATGAGATTGAAGAAAGGGATTGCATCGAAGTGTTTTATGACCGCACCGTAAGTAAGGTTGTTTAAGGGAACGAAAGTTAAGTTGGATGACAGTTAGTCACACAAACAAAAACGAAGAAGGAGAAGTATCTTTTTTTGGATTTACCAATTTTTTCCAAAATATTACCTAATAAAAAAAAATTTTGGAATTTATATGTGAGGCTTGCTTAATGATTTTCAAAGTTGCAATAATATATTTCTCTAAAACAATTCTTTTTTTGTGTGTAATACTGTTGTGCATGTAAATGTGCATTTAATTACTTCACGTGATGTCTCCGTGGAAAAGTGCAGATCATGCACGCACTGATTAAATTGACAATTGTCTCCTTGTTGAATAAAAATTGATTCTTTGTTAATAATTATTAATTATTTCTATAAATATTATGATTAAGTCTTTTTTTTTTTGTTAATTATAATTAGTATTATTATCATCTATTGCTGGAATAAAAATAATATAATAGAAAAACAAAGGTAAATTTAATAAAAAAAAAATTATAAAGAAAATTAAAAAGTAAATATTTCTGATAGATAAAATTTTAAAAGTTGGGGTATTAAATGCTTCGAATTTCACTTTTGATCTGAGAGTATCAAAATTCAATAAATCATATAAAAATGTTATCTATTATTTCCTCTTGGAAGACAGACTTAATAAAGCCTATATATATACTGTATTCTTTTTATGACACATGACGGACATGATCTTCTTTCAGATATAAATTTCCCTTTTTTAGAAAGTTTTTACTCCTAATGGGAAGGAACGTTGCACGTTCTGGTCTGGATTATGACTCCCTGTAAAGATATTTCCAAGTACTAATCCCAAAGGTGCATATTCTCTTTTGAAGGTTCACTGACACTGATCTCATCTTGTGAGATAGTTGAGATATTTAGGAGGTTGCAAAGGTATACATTTTTATACAGAGTAATTCCAGAGGTTTTACTTTTTAAAAATTTTTTTAATGATAAATCTCCAGAGGTTTATATTCTATAAAATTTCCTGATATGGTAGTTAGAAATATCTTAGTAGAAAATTGCTCCATATTGTGTAAAATCATTTTTTAATGCATTGGATAAATATTGATACTAAAAAGATGATTTTAGCTATTATTTTGTAATAATGGTAACGATCATATTCTCTAAACATAAATTCATCAGCACATCTACTTAAAGCTGTGTGTAAGTCGCAAGGTTTTTTCTCATCGAGATAAATTTGTTGGCAATCTTATTATTTTAATAATTTAATCAACATATTACAGTTAGTATCTTAAATCTTATTTCTTTATTTCTTCTAAGTAACTACTTTTAATAAAAAAATTTTTTAATATTGGTTAGAGTAAATTTTAACACAATATACTGTATATTTAAATTAATAGACTTTATTCATATAACATATTTTTTCTTATACAATAGATAATTTTTTTTATTTTGAGATAATCAGGAGTTTCAATAAAAAATGTAATTTACCCCAAGAAGAAAAATCAATGATATGTTATGTAAGGTACAGATCTGTCCAAATAAGTTTGAATGTTAAAATTTCTTAACTTTGTGGCTAACTCACCTAACGTAATGTTTGCTTAACAAAAGTATGTTTTTGATCCAATCATCATTGCCTTGCATATTTGTTGATAAGGCAAAGATCTTGAATTTGTTCATAATCGGTCTATGATATTGGATGGGGGCAAATACTGAATCCTGCATGACATGAATGCAATTTCACAGAGCCGAATTTCTAAGTTATAATTTTCCCTTAAATGTATTTGATAAACTTCATGAGATCGAAATAGAAATTTTCGTCTTAAGTATAAAATCTAAACTTATTAATAATATTGACATCAAATCCATTAATGAAGCATTGAATGGGGTTTTTCGAATCCCATTGAGATAAATATGTATTGTTAAGCAAAACATTTACGAAAAAAAATAAAAATATTTTGATATTACAGTGCGCCGCTTTCGTATTGATCAACCTGTACAACAATGTATGACATATTGATTAACGCAAATTTTTTACTTTTTCAATTGTATACTGTTATATAAAAATGCCTCGAAGTAATTGTAACTCTGATCAAGGTGAGAGGAAAGAAATGTGCATAGGTGAATCCTTTTTTGAAAGAAAGAGTGGTGTGACAGGAGGCCGCCTCTGAAGTCTGGCATTCAAGGCTTTTCGCTGAGCCACGAAACTGGTGCTGGTGTGCAGTTAACTTACTTGGTTATCTGATGCCAAAAGCTTCTCGCGAGTGGGATAAGAAACCAATGATGAACTGGAAAGAAAGCCAATTCCAAATCTTCCACGTTAGGGTTCCCAAACTGATCGTAAAAGAGCAAAAAAGTGAGAGGAGAAACGCTTGCATTGACAAGTACACATTTCACCAGCTAAGGAAATACGATCAGGAATATAAACAATAATATCAATACCAAAGTTTCTATTGCTAAACCATGAAGAGCTGAAACTTTTACTTTATTTTATTAAATTTTAAATTATAAATATATGTATATCGAATACATATATTAATTGATATTTATCTGTTATTATTATTGATAACAATTATATCAAATTGATTAAAAGATACAAAAATTCATAAATTTTTTATTATAGAAGTAATATTCCCTTTATCAATTTTTTTTTAAAAAAAATTCTGAATTACAAACTAAAAATAAATTGAATTCATACAAATGTGATTTATGTAAATGCTTACTGAGTTTATAAAATAAAATATTATAAAATTTTTTTTTTAAAAATTAGACAATCATTATTTAATTAAAATGTTAAAAAATAAAAGTATTTTTGATACTTACTAGTGCTTAAATCATCATTCAGTTAATTCTCTAAGTTCCTTTTCAAAATCGTCATCTTTACTATAGTATCCAGAATCATATCAGTATTCCTGCGACTCTAGAAAAAGTAGGTCTTATGAGTAATTCGAGCATCGCATAATTATTCTGGTAAATAATTTTGGGATATAGGATGGAATTTTTGATCGTAATCCATTACATATTTTCATGGCTAAATTTTGTTATGTGATGTATTATAATATAGGTAAGCTATTATTCCAAAAGACATCAGCAGCTCAGCTTTTGTATATTCCTCACCTCTGGAGCTACATATGGGAATACACCAAGAATATTCCTTATTTTACTTAATCCCAAATCAGAAACATATATATATATATATATGCTCACTTATAAAATCATATGATAAATATTCCAGGATGAAAGTATCTTGATTTGTCAGATGAATTTCGGAATATTTATAAATTAAAGTAAAAAATCAATATAAAAATTATTATTTAAATAATTTCTGAGATTTTTCACCTTCAGCACATTCTAAAATCATTATATATGAGTGCGTTTCTGGATCTTTTGGGATTCATATAAATGAATTGAAGCACTTATATTTTTTGCATTGCCATCCAAATAATATACAGCATATACATTTTTAATGGTTTATGTAATTTGGAATTCAAATTTAATATCAATAAATTTCGTTTAAATTTGCAAAATTATCAAATTGACCAACTCTTTTCCATGATTCACTTTTCAATATTTCATTCTCGAATTTTTCCATCAATCCATTCAGCTAAATATATTATGTATTGTTCCGAATCCACTTTTGCTATCTGTTTAATTTATTTTATTCTAACACGGTTATTGTGAAATTATTGATTTTACCAAAGTTAGACAATGTTGGCGAATTTAATTATATTTAAGGAAAAAACTTGATGGCGGCAGAATTTTTTTCCATAATTTTGAATCCTTAAATTGTACAACAGATGTGAAAACGCCGATTTGCAACATTATTGAAGTTTTAAATAATAAACTTAATAATAATAAAAATGTCCTTTAAATTTTTTGACAAATTATCTCAAGATTTTTCGGAACTTCTTGATGATAAGAATGAATACAATGTTGTCTTTGAAATTGATAAAGAAGAAAACAAAAAATCTTTTACTTCACACTCGGTTGTCTTACGTTATCGTTCAACATACTTCACAAAAGAATTGGAAAACATTGTTACGAATGAAAGTCATGTAAAGACCATTATCAAACCAAATATTTCTGCTCAAATATTTGAAATTATTCTTAAGTAAGTTTAAGAAAATTATTTATTACTTTAAGTAATTATATTGTAAAAGTATTTTGATAAAAGAGAATTTAATTGATATAGTTTAATTTTATTATATATTTTGTTATATTTTATTATATATTTTATTATATTTATATATTTTTTTAATGTAGATATATCTATGGTGGAATTGTTAGCATTAAAAATATAGAAACCAAAATTATTTATGATTTAATGATTGTTGCTAATGAATTGGAATTTGGAGAACTATCAGAAAATTTGGAAAGTTACCTTGTTGAATCTAAACCTTCTTGGTTAAGAACTCATTTATCCCCCATTTATTATTTAATATATGATAGTAATAAGAATAATAAATTCAAAGGTTTGAAACGATTTTATAATGATTTTATTTCCAAACATCCAAATTTAATTTTTGAATCCGAAGATTTCACTTCACTCCAAGAAGCAGCATTAATTTCTATTTTAGAAATGGATAACCTTCAATTAGAAGAAATTAAAATTTGGGATTATGTTATCAAATGGGGAGTCGCTCAAAATCCTACTTTGCCTACAAATTTGGAAGTATGGTCTGAAGAAAATTTCAAAACTTTAAAAACAACTCTACAACAATGTTTATCACTT